AAAAAAAAAAAAAGGAAAAGAAAAAGAGGATAAAGATTGTACTTGTGGTTGCACACCTACTTGTTCATAACACCTCCAAGTTTATATGCCCATGTGTAATTTAATAATGGGCATAATTCCAGTGAGCCTTAATTTTTAGCTGCCATAATTTACAAATTACAATATGCACCATTTTGATCCAGTAGACTAACACTGCTCGCACAGTACATCCTTTTTCCTCCAAAAAAAAAAATGTTTCTTTATAGCAACATGACATTTATCTCCATTTTGAAAGTGATCCCTTTTAAACTGAAAGCAACTAGAAAAGCACAGCACAGCATGTCTGGCCCTCATATGTGTCACTAGAAAAAAGCATATTTCACACTGATTAACAGATAACTTGTTTCAACCCTTCAGGCTTTTGTACTACAGTAACTCATCAACAATACTGTTATAATCTCTAAATATATTTCCCTTTGTACTTCATCTTTTCTGAACTCAAACTTTAATAGCACTTTAGTTATTGCAATTTACTGTTGTAATTAACCTAACAACTTTTCCAGACCAAGACCCAGGATACTATTTTTTCCTCTGAAGAAGATAGCAGTCTGTATTTCACATACAGCGGAAAATCAAACGTTCTCGAGGTCAAAGATCTCAACTACCAGGTAAAAGTTGTCATTTACATACCTCCCTTCAGCTGGAAGCATATCCAGCAATGCCTGTTTCTATGTGCAAGGCATGTTAAAAGCCAAACAAAGCTGAAAAAGTTCACACAACTGTTGCACAGTCAAATACATGGTTCTGTGAGCAGAATCACACTCTTGGCTGCAATATTGACTGCAGACTAAACTGTAAACATGTCTAGTAAAGCTAGGGAATATGACAGGATAAGAGAGCAGTTTCTAGGCTCTGCTTTTTTTTTTTTCAGTCTTGATCAGAATTGTTCCTCTGAGGGCTGGGGCAGAGGGACTTTCTGTCTGGCTAGGGATGATGTGAGATCTTGCTGGCAAGAATGAGTATGTTGAAGGATATAAAGAGGGATGACTAACAAGGAAGACTTCAAGCATCCAGTGAAATTTTTTCATCTCCTTTGTGCCACCACAACAACTGGAGTAGATTTCACAATTTTGAGCTTCATTGAATTTCAAACTATATTAAAAATTTTAGACATTTAACATTTACAGTAGCAATAAATTAGCAAAGTAACAGAGGACAGAGACAGGTTGAGCAATTAACAGAATAAGAAGCAAAGCATTAAAACCATAGGTGGCTGCAAAAGAACTTCCTTCCATGTATTTCTGAAGATTAACAATATTATTTTAATGTATTCTTTGCTTGTAACATCACAACTTTGATAGTATTTGTTGTTAAATAGTTTATTTCTTGAATTGAAGGGGCTTCTTTCTTTCTTTGTTAGGTTAACTCAGCATCCCAGATTCCCTGGTATGAAAACCTCGCGCAGATGAAAATGCCCTGGACCTGGAAATCAGATCCCCATTCTCGTGTGTCAATAATCCAGAATCTGAATTTAAAAGTTCGAAGTGGGCAGATGCTAGCGATTATAGGGAGCACTGGTAAGAGCAACTAAATTTCATTATATGACCAGCTCTCAGTTAAAACATACTCAGACAAGAGCAATACTCTGCAGCCTTTTGAATGACAAAATCTAGTTGAGAAAAAAGCTATTAGAAATGTGTCACTTATATACATTCTTTAAGTGGCATGATGTAGGAGGACACAAAGAATGATACCAGGGCAGGGGGGAATGAAAATTTATTTTCAAACCCAATTTTGTTATGTCTTGTACACATGTGCTATTTTTTTCCTGAGGTGTCATGGGATATTGTTGTAACTGTCACCTGCAGCCCCAGCTCCACTGGACATGAATCAGATTCATGGCTCAGATTCAAAAAAGGCCAATTGCAGACCTTACCCAGAAACATAGCAGACAAATGAGGCCAGACCTCACAAGAAAGATCAGTGCCAACTTGCACAGCCATAAGCAGGAATTGTCTTTGGACCGAAACAATTCTAACAGGACAAAAATATCACGTTTGGGTTAATTAAGAGAAACTTACAGAGAAGAAAAAAGACAGTTCCTCTTCTGTTTGGGGTCTCTTATTTCATCCTTTTCTTTTTTTCCTACATTTTTCTGGTGGAACTGGTCTAATTTTCTCTAGGGTGAAGTTGACTAATGGAGAAATGGCCTTCACCCCATGTATTGAATTGAGTCTAAGCTCATTTAGGGGGATAAGAAGGAGACATGTGACCTGTTAAACTGAAGCAAAAAGTACCATATTTTGGAGGTAAAACCTCCATACTGGGTGTCCACTAGTCTCTTACATCAGGTTAGCTCAGTGAATCAGTGAAGATGCTGTCTCTCAAAGGCAAAGCATATTTGCCAAAGAAGTTTCAACTTTATTTCTACAAAAAGAGATTTTTCTTCATTATTGCCATGGGAATTTTTTCTTAGCACATATCCTTAATGTAATTGAAGCTGTACCTTAAAGATTCTCCTGATAATAAAAGGAAAAGCTTGTGCTGAAATAACATATTGAGTTCTAGATACAGCACCTTTGTAAGGTAACATACACTGAACACAAACCCTTTTCAGCAAACTAGTCAAACTATTTTCAAAAGCTGTTTATCATCTATTTCATCAAATGCCTTAGTAAAATGGATTAAACTGCTGATGGGTTTCACATTGTCAATGGCAATCAATATGTCACTCTTAAACAGAGCAATGTGTGGTTTACAGATGGATGGGTTTCTTTTTTAAAATGTATGTATTAAGAAACAAGTGTGCAGTTAATCTTTCAACAGGGAGACTAGAAATAAATGACATCTAATCATAATAAGAGAGCTCTGTGTGTTTACATACAGTATCATACAGCAAAAAGGGAGAATTCATTTGCTATTTAACTCCAAATCAGGGTTTGTTTTCATTGTTTTACTTTTCTTACCTCTGAGTATGAGCCAGCTTTTCTTAATTAAGTGACTTTTTGTCTTACTTAAGTCATAATAATTTTTATTTCAATCATGATTAAGGTTCTTATTGTCTGTATAATCATTCAGCATCTTAGTCATTCAGCTGATCCAGCTGCTGTTTTTGAATTCACAAATCCCTCCACACAAAGAAAGCTGTTGCTGAGCATTTGGGTGCCAGCCCTGCAGCCAGGGTGGGACACAACCTTTCCCTTATGTTTCAGAAGTGAAAGAGAGGGAATGAGGACAAAGAAATCTTGCTTCTTGTGTTCATGGAGGTGTCCTCAATGGCCAACTACCCAAGTCTGCTGAGAAATGCCAAGGGTTAGAGTTACGTACTGCATTCCAGAGGGTAGAGATTTTCTGACCATGAGCTTATAGTCACCATTTTCTTTGAACACCATTCTGTGTCTATGGCTTCGCAGAAACTTCAGGAAGGGTTGGGGAAGAGATATTAAGGAGGGAAAAATCTATCCTCTGTCTGTGACAAAGTCGCTTTTCAAAATGATCCCTTGGAAATTAATTTAATTTTCTATTTTGATTTTTCTAGGTGGTGGAAAGACATCCTTGCTGGATGTGATAACCTGCCGGGATCATGGAGGCAAAATCAAGTCTGGTCAAGTCATGATCAACAACAAGCCCAGCACTCCTCAGCTTGTTAGGAAATGCATAGCACACGTGCGGCAGGATGACCGACTGCTCCCCCACCTGACTGTCAGAGAAACACTATTGTTCGTCGCCAAACTGCGCCTTCCAAAGTTTTTTTCAGACTCACAAAGGAAAAAAAGGGTAATTAAGCTGTTGGAAAAAAATAAAGTTGTCAAAAATGTGTCTGACAGGAATTATCCAAGAGATCCTGTGTGTTAGGAGTCAGAACAGCTAATCTGGCATTTTTTTATGTAGATTATGAATTATAAACCTTCCTCTTCTTTCAAGATAGAAGCCAGCAATTGTTCCAAATCTCATAAAAAAATGACAATCTAGAGAAAGCATCAAGGAGGCTGAAAGATGAACTATATTTTTCATCACTGAGTCTTTTTTTAATGTTATCTCTAAAAGCAAGACTTGTTTTCAAGTGTCTCTTGATCAGATAGCACTGAAAGGTCTGAAATAACTGAATTTTAACCACATTAATCAAGTTCTCAGTTTTATCTCTGGACAAATGCACAAATGAACTCCTGCTTTATCCCTGCCACCCTTTGGATTCCCCAGGTAGAAGATGTTATAGCTGAACTACGCTTGCGTCAGTGTGCAAACACCAGGGTGGGGAACGAGTACCTCCGCGGAGTGTCGGGAGGTGAGCGGAGGAGAGTGAGCATCGGTGTGCAGCTGCTCTGGAACCCAGGTGAGCAGAGCCATAACACCTTCCTCGCACCTACCACAGACCTCTTGTGGATAATGGGGCAGCAAATGAAGCCAGAAGCTTTCAGGGAAGAGTCATACACACAGTTGCCCTTGGGACAGCTTGGGGAGTTCAAAATCAGGACACTTCAGAGGTCTTGCACCACGCTCAGCCAGAGGCTCTCTCTCCATAGGACTGGTAGACACAGTGACTGAGTGCTGGTCCATTTGCTTAAATTGAAATCAGTGCTGATCACAAATAATACTGTCATTGCTACAGTAATAGTTCTGTAAATGCAGTGTTTCAGCAGCCAACTCACTTTTGCTTCTGTCACCTTTGCAAATGTGACAGATCCAGGCACAACCCCTCCGGGACCCTTCACCCATCACTCTCTAAAACCACTATCACAAACATCACTGCAAGTTGTCTGAAGTTATCCTCACAGCAGTGCTCTGGTTTATGCATATCAGTATAAGCTTTGGTTTTTATCTGACCACATGCCACAAATTACTCTGGAAGGCTGCTGGCCTGTTATAACGTGGAGATTGTTTTCCTTTCCCCTGACCCAGCCCCTATTTACATGTATTAACAGGGAAGGTCATTTTCTTGGCTGTGTATCAGTCTCTGCAATCTTGTGCAACACACTGATATGGCTGGCTCATGCCACAAGTGAACTAGAAACTTCCATTGTCTTCAGCAGAAGCAAAACATGAGGCCAAATCCACAGGTGATTCTGCAGGACTGAATCCCCTATCTGATCTTATATATATCAAAAGCTTCTTGAGTGAGCCTCTTCTTAGCTCTTTCATTGGGAAATGAATTTGAAATTTTTTTGCCTGTATAAAGTTATTTTTTTGTAATTATGGGGAAAGCAGCAGACTTTGACTTTTGTAAGAAGTGATGCTCAGGAATAGATGTGCTGGTACAGAAATTAAAAAAAATATTATTTTTTCTATACATTTAAAAATAATCAGTGAGGTTTCATGCACTAGCACCATTTCACTTAGAACATATTTTCCAAATCAAACATGCTGCTTTCCACAGCTAAACATCTTGGTTTTGGCAGGAATACTCATCCTTGATGAACCCACATCTGGACTGGACAGTTTTACTGCACATAACCTTGTGATAACATTATCCAGACTGGCCAAAGGAAACAGATTAGTGCTTCTTTCACTTCATCAGCCCCGGTCAGATATCTTCCAACTGTTTGATTTAGTTCTTCTGATGAGTTCTGGACTCACTGCCTACTGTGGAACAGCTAGAGACATGGTCCAGTATTTCACAGAACTAGGCTATCCCTGCCCAAGGTACAGCAATCCTGCGGATTTTTATGGTCAGTATCAAGCACTGTCATAAAAAAGGTTTACGGGAAATCATTTGCTTTCATAAGTGTGTAGCTAATGTTGATTTATTGACCATAACTGCCTTAGAAATGCCTTGTAACTGACTCAAATCAATACTGTAGCAAGTTCAGTTTATATTAAGATCCTTATTTGTCAGTACAGGACGTGTAACAAAAACAAGAGGTATGGACAAAATAAATTTTAAATAATCCTCCTTTTAAACCTGCCAGGTGTAGCAATTCTTCCACATGTTTTGCACACTTATCCCCCCCATGTTTTAGCTCTTTGAAACTTTGGGAAAAACACAGATCAACTGATCAATTGCTGTTTGCAGCCAGTTCTCTGACTTGTCAATCCAGAAATGTAGAAGCTAGTTTCCAGGAGTCAGGAATAATATACAAAATGAAAAAGAGGAGTACTGCCCAACACAGCACATTGGAAGGGAAAAAAAGCTAACCCTAACCAGCAATCCTTTTACTCCTTAAATAACGTTTACGTGGACCCAGATCCATACTTCTTCTGTTTTTTTGCAACATGGAAAAGGAATCTGTCCCTTTTAATCTAATGGCAGTAATCTCTTAACAGAGACTGGTTCAGTTCTAGCCCTTAGGTCTTTGCACTCAAGTTGGCTATGAAACCTGGTACAGATACGAGACAACTTCAATGCTCTGAAGTAACCTCTTGCTCTGTGCCCACGTGGCAGGCAGGATCAGCTGTGCAGAGATAAACAGAAGTTAACCTCAGTGTTAAGCCCTGAAAAAAGACCTTTGTCACTATCAGGGTTCAGAGCAGTCCTCACCCAAGTGCAGCCTTGAGGAAGGCTTGCAGCACCCTCATATGGGAATGGAGAACAAGAGCCTGTGGTTCTTGTAGCTACAGAGACAAAGCCCTATGACATGGAGTTGGGGAGCAAGAAAAGGCAGGTGGAAGATCATTTAGTGGTATGCACAGAGACAGCACCTATAGACAGAGAAAAGAAATATGGGCAGCTGGAAATAGGATGGGATGGCAGAGGATTCACAGCAAGAAGAAGCACCTGATGGGAATGCAAAGATGCTGGCTATGTGTCTGATAGAGAAACAGAAGACCATGGCAGAAGGGAAGGGGCAGGGCAGATTGCAACTCATTTTTGATGGACTCCTACTAAGGAGTCCTGAACAACGATGATGACGTCAATGCAAGGAGTTAGGAAATATGCAGTGATAGTTCTCTCAGAAAGCATCTGCAAAACATCTGGTATTGTCAGTCTACACTGAAGATCAGCCTGGGAAAATACTATTAGAAGTTTAGATTTTTTTTACAAAAATTCATTTTGTTAAGTGAAAAAAAATAATGTTAAGTCAACTATTATTGCAGTGACTGTGTTGTCCTTAGATAATATTCTTCTTGGACTTTCTTGGTACCAGGTAAAGATTGAGGAAATTTTATAGCACCTCTGTAAAATACAAATAAGATGATAACTATAATTTTGCAGATGAAGAAACTATCATGTGATTTAAGTCAAAGTCGCATAAAAGACTGTAAATGCTTAGATGCCAGAAAGAAAATTCAAACTGTTTTTTCTCAGCAGCCCTCTCAAGGCACCGTGAAATTTAGTAAAATCTGAAATAGTAGTTTATGATACCATAATAAGTAATCACATAATCTCTCAGTGATTCATTGAATGACTAGGTAAGAAACACGCACATTAACGATCTGTTTGTCTCTAATTACCTAAAGTAACCAATAAAGTTTTAACTACAGGAAGTTAATGCATGTACAAAGGTTGTACTGTCTGTTCACAATGAAATCCCTGATTCTAAACACATCATAAAGTTAGCACGTCTATAGCACATGGATTCACATCATGTAATGTCTTGCAGTTGATTTGACCAGTATTGACAAACAGACAACAGAAAAGGAGATGGAAAGCCGAAAAAGAGCAAATACTCTTGCCAACTTGTTCCTAGAAAAAGTCAAACATTTTGATGATTTCTTATGGAAAGCTACTGAAGAAGACAATGTTGCAACAACAGTCAGCAAGCAGAGGTAAAGAAAAGAGTGTCATATAAGAGATCTGGAACAATAGCTACAGCCAGTAGCTAATTTTAATGCTTTTTCTCTTGTTCCTTTCGGCAGGTCCCATGTGAATTCAGAAGAGGCTATCAACATGCCCCACCATTCAAGTGATCAGTTACCAGGACCCTTAAAGCAGTTCACTATATTATTGAGGTAAATATATCTTCAGCATAGACAGTTATGTATCATGCTCATTTGTAATGTAAATCATAAGAAAGAAGTACAAAATGCCCCACACTCACTGCCATCCTTCAGGCTTTCAGACCTGAAATGCTCAGTGGCTACAGATGCTTCATAGCTTTCATTCATTCATTAGGTAAAATCCTTTACAGAAAGAGACAGCCCATGTCCTGTCCTAGTCAAAGTCAGCGGGTTCCATGAATTGATTTTAGCAGTGTTTGAGGCAAAGTGTCTGAATATGACTGGCATTAGTATTATATCTTACGGTCAATGTTGCTGTTTTCCTAGTCGTCAAATCTCCAATGACTTCAGAGATCTTTCAACGTTATTAATCCATGGATTTGAGGCCCTTCTTATGTCATTATTAATTGGATTTTTGTACTATGGCCACGAAAAAAATGGACTCTCTATTCGTGACACAACAGCACTGCTGTACATGATAGGTGCCCTAGTCCCATTCACAATAATTCTGGATGTTATTGCCAAATGTAAGTATCAGTTTTCTTGTAAACATTATCAGCAATCGAACTCAGAAAATTCCTAAATCAATGAAAGAATTAAACTTACTAATACAACCCAAGGATAAAACCAACCTGTTTGTTCCTACCCCGCAGGTCATTCAGAAAGAGCAATGCTTTATCATGATTTGGAAGGCGGAATGTACACTGTTAGCCCATACTTCTTTGCTAAGGTAATTGGTTGTGTTGCCAGGAAATACAAACAGCTGTCTTGAACATGAAACAACACAAGCAAACTGAAGTCTTGTATAAATGATCACATCCATATCAGACTTTTTTTTTTTGTGTCTGCCAGCTAAGGCTGTGGTTCTTGCTTCCTTGGCATTAATGGATTTAGCCTCACACTACTTTAGATCTCTTGCCCTAAGTCAATGCTGCGATCCCACACCAGAAAAGCCAAAGGAGAATCTTTCACTGGGTTATTTGGCCAAAGTTTGAGAAATCTCAGGCTCAAATTTGAGGGTTTAGACAATTTTACATACCTGCATGTTTAAATCACTGAAGCATCTCTGAAAGTTTGCTTACATGTCTTGATCTGTAAAACAAAATATTCGTATCAAATGCTAAAGCAAAAGCAAACCAGAAATGAGAAAATGCTAACTGTGACATTTCCAGTAGTTGTTTGGGCCTATACTGGTCAGAGACAAAAAACTGTATTAAGTGCATAAAGAGCCAGAGTTCCTGGAATTAAATTTAGAACTTTTTAAAAATTACATTCTCTTTTTCATGAGGGTTTAGAATAATCCCTTCTTTGTGATGTTGCCACTGTTAGATGAGTACTGCCTGCCATGGCATCTGTAATTTAGGTTTCCATTTCTGCACAAGATTTTAAATGCTTATTAGTGGTTGCCAGAGAAAAATATTCTTTGCATTGTGTCACAAAGATTGCACATTATTCACAGAGAAATCGATGTAATTTGTTACAACCTTAGTATTAGAGGATAGCAGCAACCCTCTTTGAAAGAACTAATACCCTCATACACCTCTTTAGAAACCTGAGAAAATCCTAATTTTATTTTTGTTTTACAATGAATTCAGTTGGTAACTGGGCTGCTTTGGGATAAAGTGGGGAAGGGACTAATAGCCAAATTTGTCTCAGATTTGATCTCATACTAGGTTCAACCAAATTGGGACAAAACATACAGTGGCCATGAGTCAAGCTGATAACAGCATTGCTGTTATCAAGCTCACCAGTTCTCAGGGAAAGTGTTTTAAATTCTTAGAAGCTGCCAAAACTGTAACAAAACAAGACATCTAATCTGTAATAAGAATCGTCTCCACTTAACAATTAGTTTTAGTTGTCACAACTGGACACAATAATGTCACAACTGGAAAAAAGAATTAGCAAGGATTTCAGTTTCTGCTGTGGATTGTTTTTGCATGTCACTGACAACACCTAACAGGGAGATGATTGCATTCTAAGGGACTATTTCTTGTAGTGTTTATAAAAAGTCCATAAGTACATGAAGGCACATCTCACGTGGGTTTGTAATTATCATTCAGCTTATTCTCTTTTTCTTTTTTTTATCTTTTTCCTGAACAGATTTTGGGTGAACTCCCAGAACACTGTGTTTTTGTTATAATTTATGGCATTCCCATCTACTGGCTGGCAAACCTCATTCCTGAAGCAGAACATTTCCCGCTGAACTTCCTCTGGCTGGCTGTGTACAGTGCCCGTGCCATGGCACTTTGGGTGGCAGCACTGCTGCCAACGTTGCAGCTCTCAGCCTTCTTTGGCAATGTCCTTTTCACATCATTCTACCTGAGCGGTGGTTTCGTGATAAGCCTGGATAGCCTCTGGACAGGTAAGACAAAGCTCTCACCATCCCTCCAAACTGGCCTTCAGCAGTGACTGGTTGTTGTGAGGCTGAGTGTATCCTGTGCAGGAAAACTCAGTTTTATTCCTACCTTTGCAATTATCTTCTTGGATGGTGATGGTGGAGTCAGATCACACGTTTTGCATCAGTTTCTCCACCTGAAAATGAGGCAAGAAGAAGCTTGGTTAGAAAAGCACTAGTGAAAGGCTCAACTCTTACATGGCTGCTAAATTTTCAGCAAAAAGAATTATATTCAAAAGATGAAGATGGAACTCCAGGAAGACTTAGCTGACAGTGGGAGTTTGATGGATATGGATATTAGGTTGCCTCTCTTTTCCCATCTCTATGTAACAATGTGAAGTATATCTGCCATTTTGTCCAAACTCTTTCATGTTTACAGGCTCTGGCTGTCAAGAAATGAGGCAAACCCTTCTGTATCTGGCAGCAGCACAGCAGTTTTTGAGGTCTCAAATTTTGTGTACATGTATCGATTTCTTTCTTTCTTTCTTTTTTCCAGTTCCGTTTTGGGTTTCTAAAATATCTTTTATCAGATGGAATTTTCAAAGCATGATGCAAGTTCAATTCACTGACATCACATATGAAATGACTGTTGGAAATACTACATTTCAAATACCAGGGAAACTCGTAAGTCAGCAATAAAAATTGTTACAAGCATTTGATAATTGATTGGAATGCTATTTATATGCCTGTCATATTTAAGTAGATGCTGTAGGCCTCGAATTTGGCAAATGCCAGTCAACACATGCAGTCACGTTACGTGAGGTATGTTGTAAATTTGTCCCTAAAGGTGTCCAGCAGTCACTCCTGCTATGCATTTGATTTGGTGGAAGAGAAAAAAATGAAGAAAAAAAAAGAAAATAATAAAGGGCAACTCTTTTCTACAGAACCCTTAAGGATGTGCTTGCTGACATTGTTCAGCAGCTGAGCTGAATCCCTCTGAAATAGGAATAATATAGCTGCAATCCACTGTCAAACCACTCTGAAAGTCATACCCAGCTAGAAACCAAGGGGAAAGGCAGCAGGACTCAGGGAAGCTCACACCTAAAACACAGATCCAGGACAAAAATTTGGCGTCTTTTCCTAATTTTCTGCTGTTGGCCATTACAGATCACTAAAGCTCTGAACCTGGACTCCCACCCTCTCTACGTGAGCTACCTCGTCCTCACTGGCATCATTTGCAGCTTTCTGCTTTTATACTACTTGTCTTTGCGCTTCATCAAGCAGAAATCGACGCAGGACTGGTAGGAGCAGGGTCGGGCGCAGGTTGCGGTGCCCGCGGCAGGGGCGGCGGTTTCCCG